CAGCAAGGTTGTTTTTTGTTTTTGGGTAGGGGGGGAGGAAGAGGAGGAGACAGAGGGGGTACTGGTCCTAGAGCTCCCTAGCCACCATGAAAAGCAGCTGGGGGCATCACACCTTGTCTTGGAGCTGAGGGAACCTCTCCATGGCCATGTCCAGCAGCTGATAGGCAACCTCCATCTTGCAGTGCTGGTAGCCAGTGCCTCTGTTTTTCACATGGGTTCCTGCCCATTCTTCTAACCACTCATAACAAGCCATGGTCAAGAGCATCCTGCAGACCATCAGGGAGGGGATAGAGCCAACAGCTGCTTGCAGCCAGACTCAGGCCCTTGGAGACCAACCAGAGCCTTCCTGGATGCATCCATACTCTGAGCCACCCTCCTCCACACCATGATGCTAGGTCAGCGCCTGAAAAACCAATGGGCCCTGAGCAGGCCTGGGTTGGGGAGAGGGGGGAGCATGTTGCACTGAGTCTATTCTGTATCAAGCCCCCAGCTGGTGTAAATCAGTGCACCGGGCTCCACTGAGGCCAATTCCCATTCACACCAACTGAGGGCACCTGCCCTGCATCTCCACTCAGCTACAGGGAACAGGCACTGCAGCATTACAGGTGTGGCAGAAAGAGATGGCTCCCTCCTAGGCAGCGGTGCTGGCTGTTTCCCTGAAGCTGTGTTCAGCTGGAGGTCAGACCACACACACACAGTGCAGGAGCCAGTACAGAGCCTGACTGACAGAGGTTAAGGCCAGAGGGACCAGGCAGCCATTGGATCTGAGCTCCAGGGAATCTCACACCCATCAGCTTCTCTGTCCAGAGCCCAGGGCCTTGTGTTTGAATGAATCACCTTCTCCAGAAAGGAACCTCGCGGTACGTTGAAGATAACAGGAGATGGAAAAGCAACCTCCCAGCCTAGACATTTGTCCCCTGGCTAATCCTTTCCCTATCCAACATTTTTCCTTAGTTTGTAGTGTCAGTCTGTCCAGCTTTAGCTCACTGCTGTGACATCCCCTTCTGGACTGATGCCTCATCCATGCTTGGTGTCATTTCCCTGTCTACATCTCGATTGGCTTAAGAACCGGGCTCTGCAAAGCTCTTGCTCTCTAGCATTTGCTCTAACCCCAGTCACTTGTTCATTCTTGAGATATTTCCAGGGGCAGTGGATGGGGTAAGGAGAAGGCAAGAAATTCATGAAAAAACCATGATCCCCCTCAGCTACAGCCTAGAGAGGCCGGCAGGCTGACAGTCCCTGGCCCAGCTCTGTGGGGCCCAACTTGGTTTTGCTTGTCCCTGGACTGGTAGGACTCTGTTGACCTTCCATGAACAAGAGCTATCTTGCTACCATCCCAAGTGTCCTCACCATGGCATTGCACCCAGGTATTTTCACGGTGGCTCCCTGAGCACCGTGCGCTGCCCCTCCTAGTGGTGCACGTGGCCCTGTCCATACACACCCTCCCTTGGTCCCAGCCCCCTTGCACATCTTTAGTTTCCTGAGCAGGCTACCTGGGTGCCTCTCTTGGCCAATGGGCAGGTGACGAACATCCCGGGCACATTCTCACTGACCTCCCGCTACAGAGGCCAAGGTAGCAGGCCATCCTACAAGGACAGGGAGGGGCACAAAATGGCAAGGCACGGTCCCCACCTATCTGGGGAAGGGGCAGGGTGGGTGGGAGCTGCCCTCTGAAGCCAAGTACAGACATTACACTTTTACCAATATAAGTGATCAGAAACCAGTCTATACCCATAACAGAACAGAAGTTTGGCGCACACAGACTGGTTTAAAAATGGTGGAGCCTGGCCCCACCACCAAAGGGCAAATGTGTATTCTGTTCCCTACTGATCTGAACTACACCGCTTATAGAAAACCAAGTAACTTAGATCAATTCTGCATCAGTCTTTTTGAATGTCTGTACTAAATCTGAGGGGTGAAGTGCATTCAGCCTTCCTTGTGTGTGGAGTAGCATTGCCACCTACTGGCCTGTGAGGGCAAAATTCATCATCCCAGGACAGTGGGTTGCAGTGTTTATACTAGCGCAATGGGGCCTTGAAAGTGCTACCATGAATACCTTCCATAGGAGCTGGAAGGTAGAGAGGCTAAGGAATAACAGCTCTCACTCCTGGCCTCTTCCACCTGTGAAGCTTGAAGAATAATTATTTCATCACGTCACTCACCAGTGCACCAGTCAATTTCCTACAATAAAACCAGGCAGTTTCCATTTAAGTAATGTTTTTTTCCAGTTACTAGTGATGCTTCCTAGTCCTCCCCATATGCAGTATGGCCTGGATGGGGATACTGTCCCTCACTGCTGCAAATACAGCACCCTCTGGGATGGGCTGGGGCACCTGGCTTAGCAACACACAATAACACTGCATAACAGCACAGGAGGAGGCCTTGCATATGCAATTGCAAGGGCAGGCTGGGGCATTGAGAGAGGCAGAATGGAGTGAGCATGGAGATT